ACAGCATATTATGCTCGGCGTGTCGGCAAGCTACACGAAGGAGCTTGTGCGTTGCTGTGCCTTGCACAGCCATGCTCACATGCTGTAGCATGCTGTTCTGTCTGCCATCTAGCATCACTCGCTCTACCTCGTTAGTTTTGTCCACGGGTAAGTAATTTTGCATCTCACGTGTTCCTTAATGTTTTTTTTTCTTAATATTGATCCTGCTTATAAATAATAAACAAGAAGTAAGCTTTTCAAAAAAAATAAATAAGTAACATTGCTTTTATCTTCAAATTTCATTTTTTCCGTATTAGGCCAGTCATATTAAACTAATTTAGGGGGTTGACCTTCCAATTAATCTTCCCAGGTTGTAACCACCATGAATCACTTTGATTTAAAGTGCTAAGTGAGATTTATTTTGCTTCGCAAAATTAACGCGCAATAAAAAGTAATTAACAATATTACCAACAAAAAACGCGATTTTTTTTATTTTTTTTTTAAATATCTCGAAAACTAAGCAAGATAGGGTAACTATACGTACCTTTTTTTGTAGAGCGTAAAATTATCTACATTAATGATCTGAACAGCATTTATCGTCAAGTCAGTCGTTTAGCTTGCACGCGCCGTCAAAGTCCGAGACTCGGATTCCAAAAACCCACGATTTCATCGTTTTTTTATGTTACGCCGGTGATTTTTTTCCGTCATTTAAAATGGAATTAAAAATCCCCCAAAAATTACACATCATCTGAGAACTGTTGAACGCAGTGGTATATAAAAGAGAGATAGGCTCAGTCGAGATCACACTTGATAATACTATATTAACGACTTTATAAGCGTGACGTCGTGACGACTGTTTCAACGTATATTAGGACGAACGCGAGCTTGAGAGCGGAAGAAGAAGAGTCGCGGAAGAGGAAGCTCACATAGCGCGCCGCACAGAAAAAACGTAACTAAAAAATACACTAGATATATCCGCGCGCCTTAAACTATGAACTAAACCTATATCGTTTCTTACTAGTTGTTGCTAGATTACCAACACCCCTCCTCAACAACTTCGCTTAGCGTTACATTATCAAGACCTATTTCTTTTGACAAAGTTCTCAACTTAACAGCTTGCAACGGCTTTGTTAACATATCTGCTATCATATGTTCTGTATCGCAATAACAATAGTTTAATACAGATGTTTCTCTTAAATGTTTAACATAACAGCTTAAGTTTCCTTGTTCCTTATTGTTTTGATTTTTCTTAAATTTTTGTGTCTTTAAAGCTTTATCACTCGTTTCTTCTGATGCTTCACAGGTGTTTCTTCTCCTCAAATATTCGTCTATCAGTTTTCCTTTCACAAAGGCTGCGGTTAACTCGGCTTCTGACCTACTTTCTAATGCCGTTATTAGGTTATTATATGATTCCGGGAGACTGCATAATAACATCGCTACAATCATTTCGTCTTTTAACCTCTCTCCTAATGCTGCTAATTTATCTATCATTTCTTGCATGTAATGAATATGCTCTTCCATGTTACCGGTTTCTGTTAATTTCTGGCTACATATACGTTTTAGGAGAAATACCTTATTGGTTAATGACGATTTTTGATGATACTTCTTCAGATTCTCCCATGGTTCCTTCGCCGAGCTTGCTTCTCTGATGTGTGTCAATTGGTTATCTTCAACGAGAAGGCCGATTGTGGCTTTAGCTTTACCGTCGTTTATGCGCCACACTGCATCAGGCTCTGCCGGTCGTTCGTTATTCACTACATCCCATAGATTCTCTTTCATTAACAATAACTGTACTCTGTATTGCCAGACTTGATAGTTTTCATTATTTAGTTTTGCAATCTTTACATATACGTTGTCCGCCATGATGTGTTGCTGTTCTCTCTTTTACTTTTACGATATCGGTAACCTTGTAATTTGCGTAACCTCTATAATCTGCGTAGCCTCTGTAACTTGGGCAGTCTGGGCCCATAACCTGTTGAACGCAGTGGTATATAAAAGAGAGATAGGCTCAGTCGAGATCACACTTGATAATACTTTATTAACGACTTTATAAGCGTGACGTCGTGACGACTGTTTCAACGTATATTAGGACGAACGCGAGCGAGGCTGGTTTCACATGGGGCGTAAGATGTGTATGCGTAACTTGCGTGAGCCAATCGAATCATCTCAGTTACTATACGCGTATGATACGATTAAATACCGAGACGATTTGATTGGCTGACGCAAGTTAGGCATACGCATCTTACGCCCCATGTGAAACCAGCCTGAGAGCGGAAGAAGAAGAGTCGCGGAAGAGGAAGCTCACATAGCGCGCCGCACAGAAAAAACATAACTAAAAAATACACTAGATATATCCGCGCGCCTTAAACTATGAACTAAACCTATATCGTTTCTTACTAGTTGTTGCTAAATTACCAACAAGAACTACAAAGAATACTTTTCATGGTGTAACATTTTTTAGACCCTTTTTCTTTAGTTTGTAGCTATGTAAGCAAAAAATTTTAATTTTTTGAAATAGTATCTTAGTTTTTCGCTGTTTTCAGGTCTTAGAATTTATTTTAGATAAATTTTATCGTATGCATCTTGTTGTGGACAAAATTTGCCACAAAAAAGTATCCTTGTATTTTTTTCGTACGACAAACGCTGATTTTTTTATTGACGCGCAAAGTTATCCAATATTGCGCACAGGTCAGATAACGCTTGTTTTACACTAAAATAATTATTTTTTATTAAAATTTACGTGATTTTTCGCATTATTATTGAACCATATTACAAAGCCGTTTTTTTTAGAAAAAATTAAAAATCGCGTTTTTTGTTGATAATATTGTTAATAACTTTTTATTGCGGATTAATTTTGCGAAGCAAAATAAATTCCACTTATAGCATCTCAAATCAAAGCGATTCATGGTGGTTGCAACCTGGGAAGATTAATTGGAAGGTTTGATGTCTAATATGACTGGCCTATATTCGCTGTGTGCGCAGAGACTAGTGCTGCCACGGTTAGTGAAATATCGCACTTTTTGATGGAATAGCTGTATGGAATAGCTGTCAACGATTGTGAATATTCGAGCTGCGTGTAAACTGTCGTTAGGTAATTTAAATCTTAATTTCAATGATGATATTACAAAAATTATAGTTGAAAAGATTTTTCGAGAGAAATTAACCTACATTTGTTTTAAAGGTTAACCTCTTTCTGACTTTTTGCAATGAATCTTATTATACGAACGGGATTTGGACCTGTCACTCATGACATTAAATTTAATCCAAGTTCAATACCAAAAGGAAAAGCCTTAGCAATATCGCATGTGGTTCGCGTTGAAGAATTGCGTAATGAAAATATAAGCCATTTAATAAGGTGCAGTGTAATACCGCAAACATCTGTCAATGCTATTCCGTACAAGGTACAATTACATGTAAGTATATCAATATTAATGAAATTCAAGTCAATCGTAAAGAAATAAAAAAACGTTTAAACAAGAACAAAAAATTATTGTTTTGATTATTTATTCAAAATACATTATTGACGCGTTTTTACACGAAACGAAAGAATCTGGAAGAAAAACGCGGCAGTCTGCCTCGCGAAGCGAGATATTAATCGTTAAAGTTGACAACTATTTAAGTTAGAAAACCTGTCATATCGATTAAATGTAGCGACATGTACATGCCCCGTAGTCACATGTCGATTAAGCATAATTTTATTGATATTGGAGGTGAGGCCCGTATTCTAAATAAATACCATTATTTTAAACGAGGTAAAATATGATCATATAATCTCAAAGAATATACTTACTTTATTTTTTGTACCCAACGTATCCACATTTTTCGCTGCTCAATTTTATAAATCGCTTTTGGAAAGGAATAAAATTTTATTTCTGAACTTGTATTGTGATATACATTCTTACACGTGTTCACGCAACAATTTAAATTTCCTTTCCGCAATTTTTCCATTACGATGTATTAGAAAACTCCAGCAAATAATGCAAATTCCGGCCACCATGGGCGCTCTAAGTCCTACTTTTCCGCTATAGTATACCAGCGCACACAGCGAATACCGAAATTTTCAATTTCTAAATGCTTCAATAATTCAACTTTTTTGAGCCGGGGTTCTTTTCGTGTATTTTCCTTTTAAGTACTATTATTGAACTACAAAACCCTTAAACAACTTTTTTTGTAGCCACACATTCAATAAATATGTCATTATTTGTAAAAACTTGCATTTTACAGTTTTCTCCTGACGTTTTAACACTTAAAAAAAATTGCAACAGTTCCGGCCTATGTAGGTGTAGAAATCACTTTTTGAAATCTTAAAGATGATACATGAATTTTTATAGATTTGTTGTAACATAGAAACGCTTTCAAAAACTCTCTGGATTTAAAAGTCCCAGAGTATCCGAATGAGTGCTCTAAAAACATGGTGTCCGCGCAGTGTTAAATTAATAATTGATTTAACATTCTATAAATTATTTACAATGGTTTAAAAATGCTTATTAGCATCAAAAGTTAAACCAATTCAAGACAAATTATCGTGAAGTTTGTTGAGTAAAAAAGTATATTAATTCATACAAAAAATATTACTAGGTTACAAAAATTAGTCCAACTAAAAATAGCACTTTTTTCTATTTAATTGTAGTTATTTTTCTAATTCTTTTTTTAATTATTTGTCTTATTATTTTTTCTATACAGGGTCTTCTTGCACTCAGTGCCAAAACAAGCGGCTTTAACAAATCGAAAATGTTTAACAAACATATGTCCGATCCGAACAAGTTTCGGAGTTATAGGGTATTGAAGTTGCTTTTATAAGAAAACAAATTAAAGTAAATGCTGTTTAATGTTCTTTATTCTGTTCAAAGCTTTATAAAAGGTGCTCAAAAATTCCTCTGTCAACTTCAACACACTTTCTATTTGTAGCATAAATTAATAAATTCTTTTAAACTTTTTGAAAAATATATATGTTTCGCGGATGACATCGACAGTATTAAGTGTCAGTTGCTATAGTTGTTCTGACTCTTGGAGGAATTTTTCTACATCTTTTGTAAAGCTTTTAACAGAATAAAGAACATTAAACAACATTTACTTCAATTTATGTGTGTATTATCTTACGAAAACTTCAATACCCTATAACTCCGCGTTAAGATTCGGATATATGTTTATTTCGGATATTTACATATTTATGACTTGTTTTCATGTGTTAAAGCCGCTGTACCAGACTTGGTACTGATTGCGAGTGCAGGGACACCCTTTATTTGGACAGGGATTATACAAGAGAAAGAAAAAATATACACATAGACATATTTTATATATAATTATATATATATATGTATTTATGTATATTTGTATAAAAAATTTTTTTTATCAAAAATAATAGTGGAAGTAGTATATATAATAATAGTAGTAAATAGTAAATAGTAGTAGTAATAGTAGTAATAGTAATACTAACAATATAGTAATAGTGTTATAGCAGCAACAAATATTGCTATTATTATCAATATACATATTATCAATATAAAAAAATAATTACTTGTTAAATCACCAAGGACATTGCGGGGCAAATTATGAAGAATCATGATATCTAGCAATCTTTGGTTGCTATGAAATAGAGTTTCTTGATTTAAGTGATCTAAGGGAATGTTAGAAAATATTATAGAGAAATATGTACTTTGTCAGTTTATCTTTCCAGTAGTTAGCTAATATAATTTAGCTTTCTTATATTCAAGTCTCTTTGCTTTTAACTAACCTGAAAGAGTGTCAGATATAATATTTTCCTTGAAGAAGTTGTCCTGGTAACGATATTTATAATAGAAAATCAGCTTGTCTTGCAAATATAATGGAAGCTTATTCTGATGAATGTACTCTTTCACTTCGTGCATAATTCGTTGATATTTGAGTTTTGGCTTTGCCGATGATTCCAAGAGTTGAAAGATTGTGACTGTGATCACAAAATCTTTTATTATGTTTGTTTTATTTACATTTGTACAAAAGAGCAAAAAATAACATTATTTTAATAAAAATTGGAAAATTTGCTAAGAAATAAAATATTAGAATGTTAATATAGAAAGAAATAACTTAATACCAATCAAGTAAATTATATAGCCTTTCCCCAAGAGTAGAAGTATGCATCTTAATATTGTGTCCAAATTACCAAAACTGTCAAACTCTACGAAATTAGAGCCGATCAAATTACTCACACTAATATGCATAAATACTAAATACACCTCCCAATTAGACTTATCATCAAGTTTTGTCGAAATATAATATGCATCCGAGCTCTGAAATTATTCCACTGTATAAATACAAAGATAATGCATTACTAATTTTCTATTTATAGAATGATTTAATATAAGCCCGATAAAAAATTTTATAAAAACATATCTAAATATATATAATTTTATATAAAATATGTCCATATATGTTTTTTTGTTTTGTATAATTTCTGTTTGTATATATAGAAAAAAAAATAACTGAAAATAAATAGAAAAATAACTTTTGCATTGCTTCTTTTACAAAAAGTAAAATTGTAATTAGATTATACAATATTATATATAATAATATTTTTATATTCAACTATTATATTTATACATATATGTAATTATATATGAGCAATTTTTTTCTCATTTTCTCAAATTTTACTCTTTATCACAAAAATAATACAAAAATGATCTTTTTAATTGTTTTTTAACCTTTTTCTTATTATTTTTCCTGTATATATTATACAAACAAAGATTATACAAAAGAAAGAAAACATATATAGTTTATATATAATTATATTTTTATATAAAAATTTGGCCGAGAAGTAACTTCTAAATATTTTTGGAAGATCAAATTAATTATAGAAATCACCGTACTTTCATCGTTTTTCCTTGTATATGCATGACGATATAGGGAAAGATATAACTTACACAGCTACTCCAGTGAAATATTAATAATGTTAAAATAACGAGCCATATTGTTATATGTTGAGCTTGAGGAATCCCACAACTCTATTAAAAAAAAAAAAAAAAACAGTTTAAATTAATTTATTGATAAAATTCAAGCCATTAATATTTGTACAATATTATGATGATTACCGCATTGATCTGTTGAATATTTCGCCGTACTGTAGGCATGCGAATCAATTTCAAGATAGGCAAGAATTCAAGAATAAGTAACGCAGAATTCGAATCTGGACCAGGTGGTAAGATAAGTGTGGGATAAAACCACGTGTATGGTACTGAGCTGATAAGATCAACAAAGAAGTATCCCTTCACATAACGTCTGTTTAAATACGTACGTTTCTCATTTTTGTATATTTAGAATAGAGAAAAAACATATAATAATCAGTGAGAAATTAATGCATCTAATCGATTTATATGTTATTGTGGTGCAATCACCGTGCTATTAGAGTGGTGTCAAGAAAAATCTCATGTCCATCAGGCGATATAAATCCGGTGATAAAATTCAGGAATATATCGATGATGCAAATGGCGTAAGTTGGATACACAATATTCCAACGTTCAGGACTGCTACTTTTTCCGATTCTGTAGAAGCACATAATATGCGGAACCGTCACAAAAATATATAAAAAAATGATAGTCATTATCGTGTCCCAGTAGAACCTACGATAACGGTTTTCTCTGTTACACTATAGTGTTCACAAAAGGAGTCAAAGCTGTTGCCTTTAATCCTCATACCTTAACATACTAAATGGATGGATCATCCATCGATGAGATGATTTTGAGTGCCTTTTCTTTTCGAAAGCAACGGCTGTTTGACTACGAAAGACCGAACTTGTTAAAGGGTGTCGAATGGAAACAAGAACGAGCTTCTGAAGGTTTCGCTTCCAACGACTGTAGAATCTTGCGTTTGGAGGTAATTTCGGCAAATTGCTACCAGACGTCCTTGGCAAGTCGCACACATGTGCGCGTAAATTTCCTCGCTTTATCAAAACGTTCGGGTTTCGAATTGTCATACCGCGTTGACGTCGTGTTGACACATGTCAATGATTGCAAGTAAGATATGACAATCGCTAGATATACTCATGGATATACAGGATATACTTAAGTTTTACGATAAAGATTGCCATAGAAACCTAACAAACACTTCTAAACCTGGTTAAATATTCTAAGTATTTCTAGAAAAAAAGTTATCTTTGTATATTTTAGTAAATATATTCCTGGATTTTGTATTAGTAAAACTAATTTGTTGTACATGCAAAAAAATTAACAATTAATTAATCCAATATTGAGAATCATCATTTATATAAAATATATAAGAACGCAATTGATGTTATTTTTTATCCAATTAATGGTTCTCACAGATATCATGTAAAAAAAAATTTGGTTAAAATTTTCTTTTATTATTTTCTAATATTATACTGAATTGTACTAGAAAATTTTGTTATTAATATATACATTATGGTTAACAGAACACACACAAAAAACAAAATATTATAATAAGCAGAATTTCCGCTTATATAGGTATATGTATACTAATCATGATCGTCGTTCTATTTGCACAGATGATTCGAATCGGATGGCTCTATGCTTCAGAGAAATATTGATAATCTCTTTGAAAGATTATTTTACAAATAATATGAAACAAATAGATAGTGGAACCCATCGGTCCTCAAGGTCGCAAGTTTTTCGTGCATATGCACTTTTCGATGACTATTGACCGCGGCGTTATTTCGGCGGAACAAAACTCATCAGCTCGATAACGGAAGAACTGCGATGCTTTTGGGACAGAAATACACCAAGTATATCTTATGATCATAGTGATTGTACACTAAGAATTTATTAATATTTTAGCATTTTAATATTTTCTGGAATTTAAGGTTTTTAACATTCCCGGCTGGGTGTATAACGCTTAAATATTCATGACTCGAAACTCTGACAATTTGGTATATTCGTAAATGTTTTATATACATAAAAAATTAAACGCATAAAAGAGATTAGAGATACACTTAAGATACAGATCATGTAACAATATTTCTAATGGAGATAATCAACAAAGCAATGTTTATTTGAAAGTAGAAGTAATGTAGGAAGAAAAACAATAGATAGATATCCACTTATAATTGTCCATATTTTATCGTCTTGATTCAAGATGGCTGACATGGGTATCCAGGGCTCTTAAGAAGGAAACTTTTTAGACAAGAGTTGTTCAGTGTTGTAAGTTGTGAGGGTCATTAAATTTGAGGATGACTTTTGTTTGACCTTGGGTCAAGGTTAAAGCACTATTTCAAGGTCGACTTTATTTTTTCAAATAGAACCCCCTATTCTTTATCACATATTCTTGTAGCTGTAGCTGATATTAAAGTTGATATTGAAGCTGATTTTTTAGCCGTTGTTATTCACTTCTTCCAATGCCTCGCCACGCACCTAACAAAACGTAAACGTTGGGCTGCTCCTTCTCGTCGAATCGCACAGACACATCCTGATTCGCGTGTTAAGTAATTTCTTATTAATTATTAAGAAACTTACAAAATAATAAACTACTTTTTGATCCAGTTTTACCCGCTCTACCTGCCCACGAACGATGGTTCGCATATTACATGATACTAAAATATATTAAAATATTTTTGAAATACATAGGTATTTCTCTCTCTTTCTTTGTTCCTTCTTTGTTTCTTCTCTGTCTCTCTGGAGATATTTGTTCCTCTCTCTTTTTCCTCTTTCTCTCTTTTTTGTCTTCCTTAATACCCATACAGCACAAAGTGTTTTTA